GAAAACTCGCTAAATATAGCGACAAAGTCGCTAAGTTGGCAACACTGCGGCGAGTTAGCGCGAACCCATGTTCCCGTGGTAGATGACCGAGAGTTTGAACCCACATCAGGCGTGTCTCCCACCAACAGGCAGCGTTTCAATCAAGCCTCGAGCTCCAAGGCTGAAAATGGGAACCGTGCCTGCAGTGGGGGAGAACGGTCAACTCAAACATGCTGAAATGCTACCAAAAGAAAAGACTTTACCACCACATGTCTCTTTGGGACTTAAAATGCTCCTTCAAACAAGCTGGTGTAGTTAGCTACGTCAGCTACGTCAGCTGCTGTGAGCGATCCACATTCAGCTTTAAATAAGAAGCAGAAAAGCAAAGCCTGCAGTTCCTCTAACGTCCACTTGAGGCTCCAACAGTGAGGTTGAAACAGGAGCAAACAAACACCAGTTTCCTCTGATCATTGCAACTGTTTTAGATCCTTCACACGTTTGTTTTTTTAACACTTGATGGTTGCATTATTGGGGGCGTGGCCTCTTTAACTGGCGGTCCGACTGAATTTACTGAGATTATTTTTGTTCAGTGAGGTTTTGGATCAAAGGGATTCAGTCTTCCAGACAACTGGAACCTCTCCCCGTGAGTGCTCCTGGCTCCTGTTACCTGGCAGTACTCTGTGATTATGCAGAAGGCGTCTCTCTCCAGGAAGCTGTGGTAGAAGGTCAGGATCGCTGGGTGGTGCAGCTGAGACAGCAGCTGGGCCTCCTGAGTGGCTCTAACCGTCTCGTCGGGTCGAAGGTCACCCAGAGGAATCTGCTTCAGCACCTTCCTGGATGAGAGAGACAGGTCAGAGGGACGTTGTGCAGGTGTGGAGCACCTGTTTACTGATGGCGTTCGTGACGTTCACGGCAGGGAGCTTTTAGAAAAGTTTGAACCAGCGCCTTAAAGTTGAAGGATGCACACAGCGTACTGGGTAAGAACTTTGTGATATTTCTGCAATAAAAACACATCCAGAGGGAGAGCGCACAGACTGCTAATGTCAGCACGCAGCTACAAAACTGGAGCAGCGTCTCAAACCTCCGTCCTCGCCCTCAGGGAGGTAATCAGCTGCTGCTCACCGAGCAGGCCGCCTCTCCAGCTCTTGTTAAATTGGTGAGCAGGTCAGCAGGTGA